TCTTTAGTACTGTAACCCTCTATCATGGAGCCCTCTGGGTATGCTCGATTATACACATATCGACTTAGAACCGACATGAACCGCTCGTAGACCATATTTCATGCAAGTAGCAAGGGCCCAGCGCCTGTATCTGATGAACCATGTGAATCATGAGATGTGGTATTATAAAAAAAAGCAGGAGGTAAACACATCTCTAGTTGGTTTTGTGTCTCCACCACAAATTTATGTAGGTCACTCAGCTCTTGCTTGCCAATCGTCTTCTATGAGATCTTCGAAAAGAAGTAGCACATGCAGGTGATAGTCATTTTCAAGAACTCTGGCTTTATAACCCTGATTGCAATAGGTAGAAACACTGTCAGCATCACATGGCAATCGTGAGCCTTGCAGTGTGTTATTGACAAGTACTTCATCGACACTAGCTTCTTCACATTTGCTGAAAATCCAGTCGGGGCTTTGACCCCCCTCAGGAAAGTGCATATAGCTCTCTTCTCGTCTGGTGTTAGGTTGAAGCACGCCGTGGGCAGAGTGTATTTTCCATTAGCCTCAGATACCGGGTGAAGCTGTGGCATCATGTTTAGCTGCACCATGTCTTTCCGTGCTTTTAGACCATCCTTTGACTTGCCTGTGTCCATCAAGGTAGCAATGAGACTCTCAAAGATATTCTTTTGCACGTGCATAGCATCAATGGCATGGGGGACCTCTAAGTCTGGCCAATAAGGTAGATATTGAAAGAAGATCGATTGTTTCTTAAAAGGTACGCCTTCGATAGGAGGTGTGCTTCTATCTCTGTTCGTCCCATCTGGATTCTTCTTTCCATAGACGACGTATGTTTTTCACCATTCTGTACACATGTTCTCCGTTACAACGTCTCTCCGGAGGGGGTTCAATCTCTGGGGCGTTGTCATAAAATCTAAAGAACAATTTGCTGCGGTACTTGTCACTTATCTTTAAGAAGTGTCGGTTCCTTAGGTAAACTATCTTCTTGGATGCATCCAGGTACACCCATGTAGTACCATCCAAGCAAACTAAGCATCCTATCTTCCCTTTGATCTGTCCAGACAAAGCAAACAACGTGGAGTAATTATTGGTAGTAACAAATATTATTGCTCTACATATTAAGTCCTCTTTTCGGAATGCATCGTACATCTGCTCCCTATGCCTCCATAGCCTCTCCATTTCTTACATCAAAGGCTCGAGGAACACGTCTATATCAATGCCTGGTTGTTTACGGCCAGAAATAAGAATAGTGAAGAAAATGTACTTTCTCTTCTGACACAACCATGTTGGAATGTTGTACATGCTCAAGATCACTGGCCAAGTGTTGTGGTCGCTCATCCTCTCATTGAAGGGATTCATTCCATCGGTGCTCAAGCCAAACCGTATATTCCTTGGGTCATAGCTGAATTCTTTGTGCTTCTCATCAAACCTTTGCCACTGACTACAATCAATCGGGTGTGCAATCTTATCATCATCCACCTTGCGCTCATCATCCCACCATGTCATGAGTGTGGCTTCTTTAGGGTTTAGGAAGATATGTCTCAAGCGGTCGGTCACTGGCAGGTACCACATTACCAAGGCAGGAATTCTTCTCTGCTTTGCATCATTGCCTAATAGAGTGTCCTCTGGGGGCTGAGATTCTTGTACCACCTCTTTGTACCCTTGTTATTCCTCTTTTTCCCCGTAGAGGCTTCGTCCCCACCGTAAAGGTCATTGTTCTTGTACCGACTAGCCCCACACTCAGGACATTTATCCAATGACTTAAACGTTTTGCCACGAAAAAGTATACAGTGGTTGGGGCATGCATGGATTTTTTCAACCCCCATTGTCAATGGACTTATGACCTTCTTCGCTTGGTATGTGTTGGCGGGAACTGAGTTTGGTTGTGGCAGCACCCATGACAGGAGATGCAATAGATCATTGAAACTACAGTCTGACCAGCCGTACTTAGCCTTCAGGATGAGCAGCTCAAGCACAAAACGTAGCAATATCTAATGTGTCAGACAACCCTTTTCAACACCATACACAGTCTCCTTCGATGTTTTTATCACCCTTTCCAAATTTTCTAGACCTTTCGGGCTATTTAGTAAAATCTCTAGTACAAGAGCTCGAATCATGTCCTCCAAATCATCTTCATCCCCGACACGTGCTCCACTATCATTATTGGCACTACCTTCGCTGTTATTATCCCAACCACCAGCATCACCACCTTGTTCATTGCCAAACTCGAAATCCATTCGTGCATCAAGCTCTGCTGAATATTGGGACAGGGATTCTATGGTTTTGTCGTCGTATTCCTCCTCATCCTCGTCGTTAACAATAACCGTTTCACCATGATGAATCCATACTGTGTAGTCCTCAACAAATCCTCGCATAATCAAATATGATCTGATGATAGTCACATCTGTCCATGCCATACGGTTCTTGCAATCTTTATAGGGACAAATAATTATATCCTTATTCTCTTTCAATATCGTTGCATGCTTGTTTGTGGCTTCAATAAATTTATCAACCTCTTCACGGAAACCTGCCTTGAACCTTAACAAACCATACATCCAAGAATTCATGTACTCCATCTTTTACAACAACAACAAAACAAACATTAAAGGACTACTTATTCAAATATATATAAAAATGAATCAAATTAATAATTACTTGAGAATAATTATATATACTTCAGATATATATGAATATAAATCTAATATAATTACATGAAGCATACAAACACACCATGGTAGAGGAAAATTAAAATAATTAAAATACATATTTATTGATTATAATAAACAATTTCAAAAACAACAATTAGCAACAATTATATTTTACCCAATATCTTTCATACAAACTCTAGTCCAATTTTATCAAACATAAATTTATAAAAACAAAATTAATAAAAAAAATCAAACCCTAGATCTAGATCTATATGCACATGAAACATGCATAAAACTAACTAATTGTTCACTAAAATTAAGAAACATGGATCAAATAAGGGTACGATCTTGTTCTCCACCCTAATTTACCCTAGTACATTTAAAACTTCAGTCTAATTTGCTTCATAAGTAGCTCAAGCACCATAGAAGAGAAAGAAAAACAAAACACTAATTACTCACTAACCAACCATTAAAACTTCAAAAAAAAGTGTGGAATAGCATTTTCTTATCTTCTACAACCTCTTCACCAAAGGATTTGAGACCAAAACCTTCCCCCTTAGTAGAGCAATTTTTGGGAGGTGCCCAAAGTCTTCCCACCTTTCTTTCACGGGTTGGAGTGAGTGACCTGAGGAGAAAAAATATGCTACAGTCATTTTATATGTGGGTCATTTATAGGGACGGCTGGTGATTGAGCCGGCCCTACAAATCGGAGGTATTTATACGCGGGTATTTGTAGGGGCGGCTCAATCACCAGCCGCCCCTACAAATAGAAACTCCGGGGGTGGCTGGTGAGTTAGCCGCCCCTACAAATCAGACCCATTTGTAGGGGCGGCTCGTATCACCAGCCGCCCCTGCTGTTCTATTTGTAGGGGCGGCTGGTGTCTAAGCTCCTGAGCACGCCACTGTAGGGGCGGCTCCATCACCAGCCGCCCCTACAAAAAAATTTGCCCCGTTGCCACAAACCGTTCTTCACGTGGTGCGGGCCAAAAACAAATGCCAAGATCATCAATTTCTTTTCTTCTTTTCGTGTTTTGTTCGGTTTGGTTAGTTAATACATGCGTCAATTTTCTTTTCTTCCAACCCGTGTTGTGTCCGATTTTCTACTGGCTTCAGGAACAGTTTTTCACATCTGATTTCCACCATCCTCGTAAGAAGGAGGGCAGACAAGGAGGATAGGATTAGGATTCTTACTCAGGTTACTCAGGACTTAAAAGGATCTATTTGATAAGGATTTGGATTCGTACATATCCAAGTTACCTCAAGAAGGCCTACATGCAGAGATGAACAAAAATAGTTTTCATATTCACAGAATTATTTAGAGAATGCCATACAAAAAATAGGTACTAACAAATGGTGGAAATTTTGCCTTTTATTATTAATATAGATATAGATATAGATATAGATATAGATATAGATATAGATATAGATATAGACTAGGCTAAGAGTCTTTTTAGATCATTTCCTCTAAATTTTAGAGCTCTAAAAACTTTAGAGCATTTAGCTCAGTTTTGAGATATAAAGATTTAATGTGAGGTGAGCTAAAATTTAGAGCTTACTTTAGACTATATATTTGGAGACTTTAGCTCTAAAGTTGAGATAAGGTCTAAAGTTTAGAGGAGCGGATTCAAATAGGCGCTAAGTCTCATTGTTCGGGCCTCGAAAACCAGAAAAAAATTGTATGCGGCGGTGCATAGCTTGCAACAGCACCTAAGGGCACCCACAACCGTAAGAGCTAGTTACTAGCTCTAAGTCAATATGTCCAATAATATTAATTTTTAGTAATGACTCTTAGTATGATTAGATCCAAGTAACATTATCATATGATTTTGAAATGTGTGTAATAGTCTAGCTCTTGATTAAGAACTAATTTTTCTTTCTTCTATTAAAATATAAAAAGAACGTTTAGACCCAGCTGAAAAGTTGTCCTAATCTTCGTCCACTCCGTGCATATAGGATTACATGAGCTTAATGGGCTAGGTTTATATAGATGAACAAAAAATAAAGCAGCACCATGATACGAAAGCAATCAGCGGTGCCGCACGCTGGCCTGCGTTGCGACGGCGCCGCATAATTTTATTTTCCCTCGAAACCACCCTTCGTCATATAAATCCTTCTGTGTACACGTAGCAGGTCGATAACCAGGAGCGGCGACACGTCGTGAGTCGTGACGGCCGTTTCTTTCGCGCCGTATTCTAGAGATCTCCATCCAGCCCTCGCTCTATCTTCTTGCCCCCACGAAGAAAAGGCGGCGAGAGCATAAGCAAAAACCACACAGCTTGCACTTTAGGAGACCGACAGATAGAGAGTAAGGGGAAAGGTTCGCTTCTTCTCACAGCTTGTTTTCCTTTGGGTGCCATGGCCGATCCGGCGGAGGAGAACGTTGCCTCGCCGCCAACGACCCCGGCGGCCCCAGCCGAGGGCTCCTCGGACCCGCCCCTGCAGCCTGCTGGTGACGGCGCCTCAACGGAGATGGTGTCTGCCCCGGCGCCGGAGGTAAGGTCCCGGGGATTCAGGCTTCTTGGAGAGGACACCTCCGTGCACAAGGCCCTTGGGGGCGGTAAAAGTACGGATTTCTTTCTTCCTTTTCTCCCTTCTGTGCTGTTTTTCTTTCTGAGCTTCAATTCAATCGTATGGTGTCGATTCTTCAAAAAAAAAAAAAAAATCAATCGTATGGTGTTAGCTTGGAGTTCTGGTTTCTTATTGACAACAGGAGTTGTGGGTTCTTTCTTTCTGGTTATTGTTGACCACAGATGAGATAACGCGCGGGATGAACTTGATTATTTATTCAGAGTTTTTTTTTTTGCGAAAATTATTCAAATCAATTTGTGCAGGATATTAGGTGTGTCAAATTTTGTTCAAAAATAATAACGGGTGTGCTATCGATTATTTTGTTGTGTTAGATGTCCTGTGCTGCCCTTGGTTTTTTGGAGGTTAGATGCTTAACTGAACTTGTTTTTCTAAGATAAAAGAATTTTATTCGGGCCTCTGCAAGAGTTTTGCACTAGGCGGCTAGAAGATCAAAATTACTCGGCTTCGTGTAAAAACAGATTGCTTTGCTTTGATAAAAATATGCTCAGGAAACGTCTCCTCCCCTGAAACCGTCTGCCTTGGGTTTACTTAATTTGTGGACTGGGAATGGTTGTTCCTTCGTGGTGTTAGCATCCCTTAGATCTAATTCACAGCTGTGGAGCATGCTGTCAGGGTTTAGACTAGTTATTAATAAACTAGTAGCTTATGCATGTTTCAGGCTTCAGCTAAGCTTTCCAGATCAGAAATATGTTCTAAGAAAAGCTAATAATTTGCGACTGCAAAGAAACGTACCTTCAAAATTGCTGATTTAAAGAATATTGATATTAGTTTCACCCCAGGAAAATGCTGCCAAAAAGAAAAGTATGCAACTAGAATCTTTAGATTCATTTTTTGTTGGACTCATGTCGTGGGGCAGCCGGGGACCGGCTGCATGCAGCCAGGACGGTATCCCAGGCGGTGCCGGCTGTAATCAATGGCAATTAGAGTCTGGGGAAGAGATTAGAGTTAATGACATATTAGAGTGGATAGGGAGGATAATCATTGCCAAGAGGAAGGCCGGGCAAAGTCGGCGTGGAGGGAGACTAAGAATATTTGGGGGTAACGCAATGATGGTGAGAAGTATAAAAGCGAAAGTTGGCCTTTTCATTAGAAACGATGCCTTTTGTTTTGTCCATTTTCCCTAGGGACACAATGTTACACTCGAGAAGATGTTAATGGCTTTTGACAGGTGGTTACAGCAACAGAATTGTATAAGTGAATCTACACTTGAATCATATCGCTTCTGACTCCTCCTTTTTAATCATTTACAGTTAAAAATCTAGATAATCTGCTTTGGTAACAAATTTTAATTTTTAACATGCTACCATACACAGTGATGTTTGAAACTGTGCTTCTATTTTCTAGTTCTAGTGTAATGATAAGTGAATTCTTTGTGAATGATCACTTACTATGGTAAATTTTTAGTTTGTTCCTCGATAAGAGGATTATATGGCTGAAACTATGGATGCAACAATTAGAACAGGAGCAGGTCAAACTCAGTGTACTGAAGGAGATGCACAATACCAGTTACAAGTGTATCTAGATATTTTTGTGTCATCCTCAGAAATACTATTTTTCTTTCTTTTCATTTGAAAGGGGAAATATATTGGCTGAAGTTTATTGGAACACACGTGGGGCAGGAATGTTTCAATGTCAGGCAGCTGGAAAATGCTCATGAACTGCATACTGAGCTGGGTACCTGAAAACTTGGCACATCATCTAAAGACAAGAAAGCGTAAAGAGTAGCCGGCCACCCAGCGTGCCACGTCGTCTGCTTTTCGTGGCCGTTCGATCGGCCGCGCGGACGGCCCAGATCAGGCGAGCCGCGGTCATTTTTCAAAAAAACCCTTCTTTTTCCGGAAATCAACCGGCGCTCCAGAGTCCCTCTCAGGATATTTTGCAAAAAACACCTAAGATTATTTTGAAATCAACCCGCGGTCCAGAACAGATGGCCTCCGGGTTTTTTTTCAAAAAAACCCTTATCTTTGTCGAAAATCAACCCGCGCTCCACAAACCCTCTCATCATTTTTTGCGAAAACCTCCTCGGATTTTTCTCAAATCAACATACAGGCCAACTTTGATTATATCTTTTTTTTTCCCAAAAAAAACGTGTGGCCAGTGGCCCGCGCGCATGGGCACGCCCGAAGGACTAGTTCTTGTTATTCGTACAGGCTTAGGCTTACTAAGGGACCATGTACCTGAAAAAAAACAAAATGGCTGTAGCTAGTGAAGTTCATGATATATCAAGACTAGGACAAGAGGAGGTTAGCCTTATGGTAATGGAAGAGATGGACAATAATAATTTGTGCGTGACTATGACTTATTGCTAATGTAAAGGGGAAAATGGTATATGGTGCTAAAGATAGGTGGATCAGGAGTGGAACGGGAATGTCGATGCTTGATAGTCATTGGAGAAGAAAAATGAATTTAAGATGGATACTAAAGTTCGAGTGGAAATCTCCACAATTTTATATGCAAGCCTTAATGCCAGGCCAGAAGGTTAATTGTTGTTTGATCAAGAGTTCAAATATTTTCCAACATACAATTTAATTTTTCTCCTTCTGTGCCAGGTGGCCATGGTCATAGTGCAAGATAGATTAATGGGACAAAAAGAGAGGGAAAAACACTTTCAATAAATAATCAATCTAGATTATTTTTTATGTGGATCTTTATGTGTCTTATTAAGTATTCTTCCTCTGATTAATGGTATGAAATTGATGTATGAATACATCTTTAAATCATGAGTCAACCTCAATTGAGTGGAAGACCTGCCATTTAGCTTAGGTCATTGCTGTTATCTTTTTGTTCTAATTCTGCTCCTTGTGGAAAACTTTCTGCAGCTGCTGATGTCCTGTTATGGAAAGACAAGAAAACTTCTGCTGTTGTAATAGGGGGTGCAACTGTCATCTGGGTTCTGTTCGAAGTGCTTGATTACCATCTCCTGACTCTGATATCCCATGTACTGATTGGTGTGCTTGCCATCTTATTCCTCTGGTCCAAAGCTACCACCTTTATCAAGAAGTGAGTATTGAGACATAGGATGATCCTCACATATTCCATTTAAGGCAGAAATCCATCTTATTTATGTCAATGTGTTGCCTCTGCAGGAGTCCACCAGATATTCCAGTAGTGCAGATACCTGAGGATCTTGTTGTGAATGTTTCACGAGCATTATGCAATGACATCAACAGAGCAGTTCACTTATTCCGTGAGATTGCAATGGGGCATGATCTGAAGAAGTTATTGTTTGTATGTTTATGCTCTTATAACAGCTAAACATTTGATTTTCATCTCATGCTTGTCACTGATTTGAGATTGTTCAACTTCTTTTGCATGTTAACTTAGGTGATCGTGGGGCTGTGGGTTAACTCTGTATTTGGAAGCAGCTGTGACCTCCTCACCTTGATATACATTGGTAACTCTCTTCGAACATACACAGTACTCCCTCTGTTCCAAAATATAAGACGTTTTAGCTTTTCTAAATTGCTTTTACTAAGTACCTAGACATAGTGTGTATATCTAAGTTCATAGCAAAAGTTACGTATCTAGAAAAAACAAAACATCTTATAATTTATAATGGATGGAGTACTTGTTTTGTAATTTCTCATCATACTGTAAGCTGCTAGACTGATCAATTGAATCAAACAGCCGTCCTGTTGCTCCACACGGTGCCAATATTGTACGACAAGTACCAGGACAAGGTGGACCATTTCGCTGGAAGGGCACACACAGAGGCCCTCAAGCAGTATGAGGTGCTGGATGCCAAGGTCCTGAGCAAAATCCCCAGGGGTCCGGTCAAATCCAAGAAGCAGAACTAGGATAAACCGCAGATTATGAATGCTGGTATCCTTTTGCGTGAATATCGATCGGGCTTGTGGTTTGCATGGTATATGTAATCTCGGTCTGATGGTTCAGCTTGGTTCTTTTGCTACTTTGTGTTGATTGTGAGTGGATGCTGCTCACTGTCTTCGTGATGCCCGTTGATGTTATTCTAGTCCTATGTATGTCACTGTACGTGACAGAGATGTTGGGATGCTACGTTTATGCTACTGCTGTAGCTTGTAAATTTCAGTTGTAAATAAATAAATCCTTGTTGCTCAGCACGATGCGACCCTTGCTTTTCTGTGGTGCTGGACAAATGATGTACATACTTCATTACGGATGGACTGACGTACCGTTGGCAACACAACCGGAACGGGAGAGCACGAGCGTATAGGGTGTTCTTCGAATGCCGTTGGAACTTGGAAGATGTGAAGCTTCTCTCGAAAACTAGAGAACCAGATGCAAAGTTCTTTTTCTAGCTTGCAATGCATGAGACGTGCTGGACTACGAATCAGGACAACATTTCTTGTTTCCTTTGTGACCAAGGACGGGCGATGGATTGGATTGGATAAAAGCGCTGGGAATCATAGGAGCAATTCGTATTGGTTTTAAGCCGAGAAAAAGGGACTATCGGAGGATGTGTCGAGCCGTGGCTAGGGAACAGAATTGGCTTGATCGACCCGGCGTTGGGTAGCTGACTCGATCAACAAAAGTAAGGCCAATAAGCCACAATGGTCAGCCTAATAGGCTATCTCACTTGGTTAGGTTTCTCGTGGTAGAACTTGCTTACTTGGATTCAAGTCATCGACTTAGCACGAGTACTTGCATTTTCTTAGATTTATTTCAGGATTTAACGGCGTTGTGTTTTCAGTGGCAGGCGATGTTGCTGTCGACAACGAGGCGTCTGTGGTGTCTTCGTCAATATAGAGATCATAACAATCTTTTAATAAATACAATATCAGGCTGTTGGTGAAGAAGAATTAGAATGTTCTGTCACGATTTGATTGAAAGTTGCTCCCTTCGTTCAAAATTATTTTTTTCCTAAATCATACTATAATAATTCTAATTATGTTTTAGTTTAAATTATAGTCCACTTTTGTTTTGTCTTGGAGCTAAACTTTAGTACCTTGGACCAACACTTTAGAAATATATTAACATGTTGTAGTTCAAATAAATATTTTCTGCGTTTAAAATTATAAGACGTTTTGGCTTTTGTAGATTTATAGTTTTTGCTACGCTCCTAAATATATATATGCCTAATATCTTATAATTTAGGACAGAGAAAGTACATGATTAAAATATATTTTATGGAGATTTCATAAAACCGTGTATCTTTTTATTAAAATTTTTAACTAAATACAAAACTAATATAATCGAGAATTTAGTAAAATTCTAAAGATATATTGACGTGTGATAGTTTTGATAAATACATGATCAAATATATTTTATGAAGAATTTGATGAATTTGTGTGTTTTTTAAACAAAATTTTAACTTACTATAGAGCTAAGTTGAACTATGGTTTGAAGAATTTGGAACAGAAGTAGTAGTAAAATTGTTATGAGGTCCTAGTTTTGCCTCTGGGAACCAGCATTCGACGCCGCTGTGACCTGGTCATAGTGCCATGACAATGAGCTGCGGCGTGCTACCGCGCATCCACGGCACTGACTGACCCAGGCCCAGGAAAAAGAGAATGGTTGGTAGGTGGTGAAGATTAGAGGGACCGTGTCTAGCCCGCCAGCCATCCTGCTGCTCTAGCCCACCTGCATGGCCGTGTCCCCCTTTGGATTCTCGCTCCCTCTCTTCTGCGTTCGTTTCTTCCCGATCCAACAAGCCTTCTTCACTTGATGCTGTTCGGTCACGGCGGTTGAATTCTCGAGATTCAGGTAAGTGCGTGCTCGTCTTCTTTTGGCTGAGTTCTCCTGAACATGGATTCGAAATCCACGAGAACGCATTTGATTAGAAACAAATATATCCGGCACTTTGTCCGGTGGTCAGCCTAACTGCAGTGCACGCCACCTGTTTGATAGAATGCCTCCTTCGTGATTCCACCTCATCCCTGCTCGTCTGAGTACGTCATTTGTTTCCTAACAGCTATGCCAACGAAGATCTCCACAAGGCAGTCTCTGCGGTTTGCTTTGCCTTCAAACAATGGTAATTGGTAAACATTAAACTTTTTCTGATACACGAGTTGTTCATGCTGCGTCTCCTTGTGTATGGTCTGCTGAATTTCTTTTGTTCAATCTTCAGTAGTTGTTTATTCAAGAATGCAAGAAATCTCGTCCTTCGGATGACAACAAACCTTATCTTTTTCCGTTAATTAGAATATGTGAAAAGAAAATCGTTCACACAAAAAGTTGGGTGATTTTGATATTCTTAGGATTTTTGTATGAGGGGATACTTAAGATTAATCCAATGCTATAAGCTCTTGATACTTTGGTAAAGAGTACAGCCAAATAGGTTTTGATTAATCTTAACTACAATCTTGCTGTTTCTTTCGAGTTTGATACTTCTCTGTTTCTGTTTCTGGAAACCAGAAATGTTGAGCACATTTGAATATCCTATAATGATACAAGCTATTCTTAGTTATTGAAACTCAATACCTTTTACAGCACGTCCAATATCGACTGCAGTAAGAATGACATGTTTTGCTAAGAAGCAACCTATTGCTGCCATGCCCTTATCATCTAGTTTGGAGGACAAAAGGTATGAGCCTGTAGTCAAAATGTGTGGCATTACATCTGCCATCGATGCTGAGATGGCTGTGAAGGCTGGAGCTAAATTAATTGGGATGATTGTTTGGCCCAACTCCAAACGCTCTGTTCCATTGTCTGAAGCCAAAGAGATATCCAGAGTGGCCAAATCTTATGGGGCTGAATCAGTGGGTGTGTTTGTGGATGACAATTATAGTAGTATCTTGAGAGCATCTGATTCATGCAACCTCGATCTTATCCAGGTATATCTTCCCTTACTATATTCTACTCTCTGTAAGAGAAGGAGGTACAATCTAATTTTACTGACGCATTGCTTGTAGCTTCATGGAGATAGCTCCCGAGAACTACTTCCTCTGCTTTGGAAAAACAACAGGATTATATATGTGCTAAATGCTGATGAGGATGGTAAACTTATCAATGCTCCTCCAAGTGAGGAATATGTTCTTGATTGGTTTTTGGTGGACAGTGCAAAAGGTGGAAGGTACAAAATTCTGCTTACATGGTTGGTCTGTTGTCTAATGTCTCGATGTTTGCTCTTGGACTAGCTAATGATTGATATTCTAAAAAGCTGTTCTTCATCCGACTAAATTTAACATTGGCAGTGTTTATTTTTTATTTTACCTATTTGTGAATATCACAGGCCCTTTTCCTTGATAACATTTTGTAGTTAAAATTTGTTGGTTGTGGAGAAAGCTGGAACTGATAAAATCTATTCGTATGCATTTACAGTGGCAAAGGGTTCAACTGGGAAAAATTCCAAATGCCAACTGTTAAAAGCAAGAACGGCTGGTTATTAGCAGGAGGCCTTCATGCGGATAACGTTCACCAAGCCGTTTGTGCTCTGAAGCCAAATGGCCTGGATGTTAGCAGTGGGATATGTTATCCTGATGGTCTACGGAAAGACCAGAAGAGAATGTGTTCCTTCATGAGCAATGTAAAAACTTTGAATCTCCTCTAAAATACTAGTACTTTATGGGTCATAGTTTCTTGGTGCTGTATGTGGAAACTGAATAAATGGCAATCCTAATAAAAAATAAAAATAAATGACCATTACAGGTAAACTATCCAGAACAGAGGCATTGTTGATCTTTGGAATCAACCTGTAAAATTCCAGCAATTTCTATGTTTGAGCAGCTATATCATTTTTCAGCTTATCGTTAAGGCAGTTCGCCATATTTCTGTTTACTAATGTGTTGAATGAGGCATTTGATTGCAATGTGAAGAGACAACTGAGTTTTTGTTTTGAAATTGTCCGTTCATTAGCAATATTAATGCTAGCTCTGGAGGGCATGGGCCCCTCACTAGGAGAAAATTTTCAAATTTAGAATACTGGAGTACTCCCTTCATGTTCCTAAAGGAAGTCATTTTGAGGTTGTTTCAAGTCAAACATTTTAAACTTTGACTACAAATAAATTCTTTTAGATTGAGTTTGAAGTTATGAAAAGTGATGTAAGTAGATTCATCTTGAAATGTAGTTTTATAAAAGTATATATTAACTATATTTTATAAATATTTTATAGCAAAATTAGCAGTCAGAGTTTTTTTTGAGACTGTCAATATCCAAAACGACCTCCTTTAGGGACACAGAAGGAGTACTATCTTTTTTTTTAGAATTACACAGTACAACGTAGACGCACACTCACCCCTATGAACACATGTATACAAACCCTATCCTTATGAGTATCTTCGAAGGATTGAGCTGGTATATCTCGAGATTCATGAAGTCACTACAGACGCCTCACTGCCGACGGGAACGTTGCCTACCACTGAAAGCATAGCACCGTTAAATCTTGTAATAAATCTAGGAAAATGTGAACACCCGTGCCAGGTTGAGGACTTGAACCTGGGTGGGCAGGTTCTACCACAAGGAACGTCACCAACTGATACAATTCTAGGTTTTGGCCAGAGTCAAACTAACATAAAGTTTGACTGAGTTTATGAAAAAAACCTGATATTCATTTAGTATGATAAGTATTAATATCTTTTTATATAAATTTAGTAAAACTTAAAATAGTTAGAGTTGCTTCGGTTTTCGGATAGAGTGAGTACTTGATACCACATTTCAGATGGAGTTGGAGCGAAAGGACTGAGGTGCCATAAGATATATGCTTCTAAAATTAATGGCTTGATCACATATAAAAGCCTGCACAAATTCTGTGTACATGGGCAGTAAGTTTTTTTATGTGTTTGTACTCCCTAAGTACAATGTTTTACTCACTCCGTCCCAAAAGAATGACGTTATATGATGTGTGCTGGTCAAACTCTCTTAAGACTAAGTTTGTAGAAAATATTAGCAACATTTGTATCTCTAAATTTTTTTTATAAAAATATATTCAATGATTTATCTAATGACATTAATTATGCACCATAAATATTAATCTTATATTTTTCTTATATATATTTGGTCAAAGTCGAAAATGTTTGACTCTTCGGGAAATGAAAATGACATTCTTTATGGGACTGAGGAAGTACACTCTAGGTTTCAACACTACAAACTACACATGTCAACTTATTAATGTTTTCCAAGAAGGCAACCTGAATCTTTCTATATTATACATTGCCATGCTAACTCTTGTCTCTAAGACCGATGATGTTGAGCATATGAAGAATTTTAGCTTATTAGCTTGTTGATGAATTGAAGTTTTAGGATCTTCACAAAGCTTTTAGCCATGAGATTGGGGCTTGTTAGAGTATCTCCAGGAATTCTGTAAAACAACTCCTATTTTGATTTTTTAGCAAAAAGAGAAAAAAGTGCCCTCCAATGGTTTGGTAAAAAAGCTCCTTAAAAATAAAAAGTTGCTAAATAATATCCTCTACAACCAAGAAAGTGCTTTCACCAGGGATGTATTATTTTAAAAAGTGTGGTCGTAGCTCATGAGTTTGTGCATACTCCAATCCAAACCAACCAAGTTAACTTAAAAAGCTAATTACAGAAGACATATATGCTAGGATCAGTTGCTCTTTTTTTAGTAGCATCCGTAGAAGGAAAAGTGTTTACGTTGCATGGGTCGGATTTGGTCCGTCGGAATTTAAGCAATGTTCAGTTACAAGTGATGCCCTGAGATTCTCACTAGAAGAGGTTTTAGCCCTATTGAATCTATGGAGGTCCCTTGTTTCGGTTTTAGTGATTATTGGATATAAAGATACTATAGAAGCATACCTCGATCTCGTGTAGTTTGCGGATAGTTTGGAATAAAATCAGAATATATATATTAGTGTATAAAAGGATAAATTATAATAGATTAATATTAGTGGATGGTTTGTCACACTGACGTGGATAACTAAATGCAACGAAGATAATGATAAGGATAGAAATTAAGGTATATACGTACAATAAATAACCGGATCAACATAAGGATCGTACGAGTAGAGAAACTGGCTAGATTAATTTCACTGGAGATAATAATAAGGCTAAAAGTTAAGATATACTAGTATCTTTAAAGAACAACACTAGCATTAATAATAGCAAAAATACTAAATGGCAATGAGCATTCACCTCTCATGCCAACACATTACATTGGTACTAGTGTACTACGATAACGCCTTCATGGCTAATGCGATTCTCCTCTTCAAATAGGAAGATCATCCCATAAACTCTCTCCTCTGTTTTTTTTTTTTGGCTAATACAGACTTCCACTTGCTCTGTAGTTAGTTTTTGACCTCAAAACTAATAAAAGAAAAAAAAAACCTTAAGATACTTGTGTTCGTACCAGGCCACCTTGCCTCGACGTGCAGTACTGCAGTGGACCACCTGTTGTACAATCTCAAACTGATAGTAGCTGACTAGCCGTCCAACCTCTATAATCTCTCTTCAAATAACCTGTATTCCATGGATGAGACCTCTAAATCTGCTGACATCGCCGTAGAGCATTTCATACTTGAGTCTCATAAACGCTAGCAGCGCGAGTAGGCTGCCCGCGCCGGCGAGCCGAGGGCTCAGGGCCGCCGGAACCAAGCAGAGGCTGCTCGCCACATGCTCCAGTCCTGGCGGCAACGCGCAGTCCACGGCGATCCGGGCCACGTCGTAGACGTCTTGACCGAGGAACTGCCTCACCATGTCGAGGAACCCACCTAGACTGTCGGGGAGCGGGTTACCCATAGACAGAATCTTCATGAGATACCCGATGAGGTATACGCCGGCATAGGTGATCCAGGATATCTGTGGCCGGCGGAACAGGCCGCAGCCATTGAGTCCCGTGGCGAGCCTCGATGCCGTGAGGATGCCGTGCGCCTGGTGCTCGTCGAAGCTCAGGCCGCGAGCTTCGAGGTACCCGACGGAGTTGGCCGCGTGCGGGTCCGCCGTCGCCGGGTGGAAGCCGGAGGTTGAACTCCCAGGCGACGATGTGCCCGAAGTCGTTGTAGATGGCGAGGCCAATCTGGATGGGCTTGAGAGCGTCGACGTTGGCCTTGATCACGCTGTATCGCTCATCAGCCGTCTGCGAGGTTTGTTTCTGACTGCCGCCGTGTATGACGCCGAGGTAATGGATGTTCACCGCGGCGTAGCGGGCGTTATGAACGAAGCTGTGTAGAGGAAGCGCAATTCGAGTTCAAGATTGTCTTCCCATACGCTGCGGACGGAGATGCCCGGAGGCAGCAGCGGCATGGAAACGCCGTGATATAGCGGCGCGTAGTGTGCCATGCCGAAAGGTGGCGACGATGATGTGAGAGGAGACGTGCCGGCCGGATGCAGCTTGTGCTGGTTTCTAATTAAATAAGGTAACAAGCGACGACGACTCGCCACGAACTGCAGCTACGATTTATTATTTAGAACCAAAATTAAGAAGCATACCAGGGCGCAATATATAGACGTACGTGTGGAGTTAGAGTCCATGTCGATCGCGGCATCACCGCATCAGTTTGCTATCCGGATCGGACTTGGGCAGCTTGTCCGTGACGCTTTGCAACAGTATATCAGCAGGATCAACCGGTGATGCCTACGTATTTCCTTCTCTGTGCTCTCCAATCTATAGAAGACTATCGTCTGATATCACTTTTTCTTCTATAGATATAGAATAGAACAAATAAAGGCCCAAAGACTAATACCGATCATCAGATAAACTAGGGAGTTGAGTGCTGGTTTTCTTAAATTTTCTTTGGTGCACACCAATCGGTCTTGTAATCAAGTAGCTCACGTCTTGACTAAGCAGGTCTCAGATGATAACAGGATGGGTGAGTGGTAAACAGCCCCAGCCTGTATTTCTCATCTGTTGACCAGAGATTGTAATCCTGATGCTATATAATCAATAGAAGCTCTTTGTCGCAAAAAAAAAAAAACACTACAGGATATTTGTGGTTGGTTTGGTGGCTAGTGATCAAGAAGGGACGATCCTATCTCACTTTTCCAGGTTAGGATGGTTCTATTTTACTGTTTGGTTAAAGGAATAGCGTTGTTCTCTTTTTCTATTTGGTTTGAGGGGATTGAGAAAAATAGGATTGATTTTATTTTTGGGAAAAGTCTATTTTTATCCCTCATACTTCTATTGATGTATGAATTTAGACCTCCAACTCTAAAACCAGATATGTGTGGTCCTCCAACTATAAAAAAAACAAACAACTTTAGCCCTTGGCTAGTTTCAAAGGTGGTTTCACGTGATAGGTAAATCACTAAAATTTATAAATAATTATTTTAAATTAAAAAATATATAATTGTAACAACTTTGTCATTAAAAATGTAATCTATATATTAATTAAATAAATTATGAATGTTATAAATTTAAATATTATTTTATTTAAAAATATGACCTATCCGTTTGAAGTTCTCATATTTTGAAATTCAAATTTTTTAAATTATTCGAACAAACTCGAATGGAGAAATGTCCAAAACTATAACTATAGATCTTGAAAAGATCTACAACATTGTAGCTAATAAGTTTTTCATTTGAAATCATTTACGATCCTCAAATTTGCTTTGAAGATCTCATATTTTGATATTCAAATTTTTGAATTGTTTGAACAAACTTGGATAGAAAAATGGACAAAACCAAAGTTGTAAAGCTAGATGATATCTACAACTTCGTAATTGACGAATTTTTTATTTGAAATCATTTATGGTCTTAAATTTCTGCTTGAAGATCTTATATTTTGAAATTTTATTTTTTTAATTATTTTAACAAACTGGGATGAAGAAACAAACGATACTTGCAGTTGATGACTGTTTCATTTGAAAATCATTTATGCGCTCAAAATTCTTTTTGAAATTATTTTTTTGAATTATTCGAATAAACTCAGATGAAGAAATTATTAAAACCAAAGGTATAGATCTCGATGAGATAGACTATATTTTTAGAAAAATGTTTGTACCAATTTCGTATTTTTGTCATTTAAAGAGAATTATATATGACTTTTAATGATTAACCTATTATTTTTAGAAAATACATCTATATCTATATCTACATCTATAATATACCCAATAGTTTTGGTACACCTCTCTTTAACTACTCGGCGTTACTCTCATCACGCCACATACCTTCAACCTTTTTTAATCAAACTCACAAATGGTATTAATTCTCCTATCAACTAATTCTTTATTGCACTAAATTTATTATAGGCTTTGAAATTTATTTAGTTTAATCAAGCCTAATTAAATGAGGCTCATCCTGTCCGCATCCAATTTTAGATTTTTTTTAGGTTTTTTTCGTGCGACTGGTTTCTCGAATTTTTTTTGTCTATTTTCCCTGTTCACTTTTTCTCCCTTTTCGTTTGCCTTTTTTTCTCTAATTAGTTCATAGAGTTTTTTTTTTTTTCCGAGTACCTCTGCTCCTCTTCTGTTTTTTTCATAGATAAATGTTAAAGCAAATAATAAATTTTATGTTTTTTTATCACATAATAAATTTTATGTTATGAGTTGAACTAAATTCAATTTGGAACCTTTGACCTTAAACGTAGATATAGTTTTGATTAGGAACAAAATTTATTCTTATTACAACCTAGATCAGCCGATAGTCCAACTAATCAAATAGTGAACTGAAATGATGAATAATTTCTTGTCTAATTCAGTCTAAGTAAATGTGTTTCCAAGTTGTACACATGTACAAAGTGCAGTCCCTGATTATGGCTACTATGCGAAAATTCGTGAGGGGTCTCTTGTCATAATCATTAGTGGTCGGACCCGTCTTTTACATGTCAGAATAATTATTTTTTGATTCTAATCAAAGATTAGAATTATAGATTTTTACAGGTTCTCAAAGGAAGTCACAAAACTTGATATTTAATTGTACTATGACATAGATAGTATGAAAATTAAAGTTGTGATATATTTAAGTGTAAATATTTCTATGCTTTGCAGTGGGAGAAAAAATGTATCAAGATTGTATTTTAATTCGATAAAGGCTTGGATATTGTTGTTTATTGTCATCATAAAATAAATTATACTCTCTATTCTAAATTACAAGACCTTTTTGCTTTTACAGATACATTGTTTTTAGAGGGTGTTTGGTAGCGATTCTCCAGCCTCTCCAGCACACCACAAACCAAATGAGGTCCCACAAAATCCACTTACTGGAGCCGAAAAAACTAGCTTCAACCAGCTTCGTCCTCTGTGGTGGTGGGCCCGCCCCCAAAGTGCCCATCCTCTGTGATCACATCGCTGGGTAGTGGTGGGGAGTGGCTCCTGGTGGTGGTGATGAGCAAGAGCAGCAATGAGCGGCTCCTAATCGCGGCGTGCACTCCCCAGGTGGTGACGCTGTGGGAGGGGGTGGGGCGGTGAGAGGGGCGACTCGGACGCACCATGGGAGGAAGGAGGCCAGGTAGGGAACACATAAGGTAGAGAGAAGAGATGAGAGAGCAGTGAAGAGACAAAAATAATTAAACAAAGAAGATAGAAAAGGAAAATATAACCTATCCGTTTGATGTTCTCATATTTTGAAATTCAAACTTTTGAATTGTTTAAATAAACTCGGATGGAGAAATAACCAAAACAATAATTATAGATCTTGATGAGATCTACTCCCTCCGTCCCAAAAAGAATATAGTCCTACATTTCAAATCTTGTCTCAGAAAGGATGTAATTGTAGACATGAGACTAACTTTCTAATAGGACCCACCTATTAAAATACCACTACTTTATCTACCCATAAGAAGAACATTCTAGAATGCAATGATTATTTTTCAATTTCTACCTGTGGGGAGAATGATGGAGGGGTAAATACGTAATTTCACACCTACACTAATCTTACCTCAAAAAGTGAGATTTACGTTCTTTCTGGGACGGAGGTAGTACAACATTGTAGTTGATGGCGTTTTCATTTGATATCATTTACGGTCCTCAAATTTTGTTTGAAGATCTCATATTTTTATATTTAAATTTTTGAATTGTTTGAACAATCTTAGATGGAGAAATGGACAAAACCAAATTTGTAGAGCTTGATGTGGTCTACAACTTTGTAGTTGATAATTTTTTATTTGAAATCATTTATGGTCCTAAAATTCTATTTGAAGATCTTATATTTTAAAATTCATTTTTTTAAGAACGACCTAAATGGAGAAACGAATAAAACTTACAGATGACGATTATTATTTTAAATGATTTGTGCTCTCAAAATTCTATTTCAAATTCTTATATTTTAAAATTCAATTTTTTGAATTATTTGAATGAATTCAGATGAAAGATTACTAAAACTAAAGTTATAGATCTCGATGAGATAGATTATATTTTTAGAAAAACATTTGTACCAATTTCATATTTTTTTAATTTAAAGAGAATCATGTATGACTTTAATTGATTCACCAATTATTTTTAGAAAATACATTTATACCTTTATCTATATGCCTAATATTAAACAGTCAAAATTTCATCTAATTATTTTGGTCCACCTCTCTTTGACTACTCAACATCACTCTTCATGTTAAAAAAACCCCTTGGCATTGCACCATCCATGTCATGTCTTCACATCACACCACATACCTTTTGCTTTTTTCAATTAAACACACAACAGGTAGTAGTTCTCCTATCAATTTCCCATATGGTATTAATTCTTTATTGCACAAAATTTATCATAGGCTTTGAAATTTATTCAATTTATTAATCAAGCCTAATTAAATGAGGCTCATCCCATCCGCGTCCGGTTTTAGATTTTCTTTTTTGGTTTTTTTGTTCGGACTTTTTATGACATCTAGATCTAGGACTCCAGGTCCAAATTCTTTTCATCTATTTTCCTTGTCCATTTTTTCTCCGTTTCCATTTCCCTTTTTTCTCCCATTTGTTCGGAAAGTTATTTCTTCTTTTCCAAGGACTTCCCTTTCTCTTTTTTTTCATCATAGATAAATGTTAAAGCAAATAATAAATTTTATATTATGGGTTGAACTAAATTCAATTTGGAACCTTTGACCTTAAATGATGATATAATTTTGATTAGAAATAAAATTTATTTATTACAACCTAGATAAGTCGATAGGCCAACTAATTAAACCGTGAACCAAAACCATGAATAATTTAGGCCCATTTGTTGTGGCTCCAAAGGGCTCTGGCTCCTACATGCGGTTACTCTTCAACATTGTGCGATACTATGCAATGCAAAAAAATGCTCCGGCTCCTCTCCAAAACAACGTAAACAGAGAAGGAACCACTGAAGCCAGGTTTCTAGTGCTCCGCTGGCTCTGCTACAG